CGCCTGCCGCTCGGTATAGCACTGCCTCCATTCGCAACCCAGGCACTTTTCGCCAATTACGGTCCACTCGATGGGATCAAAGCACCTGACTTCACCAGCTACTACTCCTCATTCTTCCCCAACAGTATGCTGTCAACATCGTATTCTCCCTATAACGTGATGGCCGCCTATGCACGACAAGCAGCTGCGGTAGCAGCAGCTTCGCAACCTTCCCACTCAACGAATTCATTGCCTCAGACTTGAGTCATCTTGGTGGGTCGTCATAATCTTCTTTTATTTTTTCGTAAATCACCAAGATTAATCCAATAGACTTTTGCTTGCCGAAGACCTATTAAATTGGTGTGAATAAGCTGGATGTTTAAGAAGTGTGAAGAGATGCAGAACTAGTTCACTTTCGTTTCTTCTATACGTATTGTTGAAGGCGGAAAGATCATTCGCAACCGCTTGAATCCGCTTTTTTCGCGCGACAAGACCTTTTCCTGACAGAGCGAATGCGCGCTATTGTTCCTTTATTTACCTACTTCGATCTGGAATTCGGCATGCGTTTTGTCCCGATACCCTCACCAGTTTCGCTCTCTTCCGCACCTCCACACAAAGGCATTTTGCAAGTCGGCATGGAACGGCAGGGGGATGAGAGTTTCGCAAAATTACTACTGCGTCAACTCGCCATCTGTTCCAGGCACGTGCCGGCGATATAAAAAGTACCCCGTCGAATCTCGTACGTCATCTTGTGGACGTAGCCAACTCAGCTTTTTGTACGAGTTTCTTCATGTAATCTCTCTCGACTCTTCCGGTCACAGCAGCAGCAATGTCTTGTGCAGTGCGTGTCATTATGGTTGTATCTATTTGTGTACCTATAAGTTGTATGTGTGAGTGTGTTGTGCGTGGCAGTCGGGCATCGCCATCCATCTCCGCATTTCTCTTGTTTCTTCCGTCTTCCTCTTCAGTGTTTCGCATATATGATTGTCCGGAGATTATGTTTGCTATGTGAATAAACGCTATTGAATGAAAATTCTGGAAAGAAAGTATGCGCGTTGCCCGGTCCCAAAACAAACACGATGCCTTTGAATTGTTTATTCTGCAATACGACAAAATCGGAACT